CCCCGTTTGGGGGTACCTGGCCTTGTCCTGCATGAACCCTGCTTTGGGGGCACCAGGCCCTGCCCTGCTGTCCTGGCCCCACCTTTGGGTGTCCCCAGGGGCCACCACCCACCTGCACTGCGGAGGAAACCAGAGCCGGCCCTTCCTGCCACCGAAATTCAGGACATTTTGGTGGTTTGAGAGCAAGTCTGGGGAGAGGATCAGCCCCCCTTGGCCCGGGGGAGGCAAATGGGTTTCACACGGAGCTTTTCCATCGTGTCCCCCCTCCAGGCCGAGGGACTCTCTCTGACGAACACGCCGGGATCATTTCCGTGCTGGCCCAGCAGGCGGCCAAGCTCAGCTCGGACCCCACGGACACCCCCGTGGTGTGCCTGGAGTCGGACACCGGGTAAGTTCCCAGCCTGCCGGGGCCACTTCTCCCCCCGTTTTCCTTTTCCCCAGCCCTGGGAGCCTCCCGGAGTCAGATCTCGGGAGCAGCTCCTGGAGGAAGCCCCAGCTCTGAAGCTGTGGAGGAGGCACTGCCACAGGGATTCACTGGATTAACAGGATTTTAAGAGGCAGGAACTGTAAAAGCAGTGGGAAAGCTTTTGGGAGGGGGGTGGTTACTGCAGCTCTGTTCCTTTTCCACACTTGGGATCCATGTGGATAACTCAGGCGGTGCTGTGGGAGTCAGGGATGGCTCCAGTTCACAGAGTGGGAAGGGAGGCAGGATCTGGCTTGGAGCTGGGGCTGCTGCAGCTGCTGAGTGATCCCGGGTCCAGTTCCCACCTCCACCAGCTCCTCCGCCCCTCCCTCAGCACTGTCTCCTTGTTTTAGGAACATCATGATCCAGAAGCACGACACCATCACTGTAGCAGTGCATAAGTTGGCATCCTGATCCTTGGAACCAGCTGCACTCCCAGCCCCTCCTCCCTGCACAACCCTGCACTCCAGCTCTGGTTTGGAACCCCAGTCCTGGGGTGAAGGCTCTCCCTCTCTTCTGAACAGCTCCTGTGCAGCTCTCCAGGTCTCCAACTCCCACTGTAGCACTTGTGGTGCTGAGGGTGACACGTGGTCACTCACCCAGCTCGTGGAAGGTCAGATCCTACCAGGTGCATGTGTGGTGTTGGTTGGAGAAATCAATAAATGACCTGTAAAAACACCCCTTTGCTTCTCTTTGGTCCACTGTGGGAGCTGGGCCTGGTGCTTTGTTTCCAAAGCCAAGTGAGGTAACTTCTCCCACTCCCTTCATTAGCATTTCTCTAGAGAAGAAAGTGGAATTAATGGAGGCTCCTCCAGCAGGAAAGGTACAAACACTTCCCAAGGAATTTCTCCTGGGGAATGTTTCACCTCCCCGAGTTAAACGTTCTGTGGGAGAATTTCTTGCTCACTGTGCCTCGGATTAAAGCTGGATGTGCTGGCCCTGTGTGAGCTGGAAATGGATGTTGGCAACATCCTCACAAACCCAGACCCCAGATTTGAAACAGTGCAGGGAAACAATCCTGAAAAAAGCCCTGGGAAGCTGCTACACTCCAGTGCTTCCTGTGTGGCAGGGAGAGAAAAGGAGCTGGGCTGCAGCTGGTCTCATGCAGGAGGGGAAGGGAAGTTTCATAGCAGAGCATGAGGTGAAAATTGGGCTGGGTCAGAGAGAAAATGACATTCAGGCTGCTCTGACTGGACTCCAACGAGCTGCTCTGTTCAGCAGTGCCAGTGCCAGTCCCCCGTGGAACAGGCAGGAGGAGGCTCTGCACAGCTGAGTCCACAGTCCTGTCCAGCTCAGTGTTAGTTCTCAGTAAAGCCCTGAGATCTCTGCAGGCCCAAACTCTGTGGTGGCCTCGAAGAGTCCTTCTCTGCTCTACCTACATCCCACCAAGGTGGAGCAGCTGGAGCTGGAGTATTTCCCCCTGGAATTCCAAGAGCTCTGAGTGAAGATGCTGCTGCTCCCAGCCCCTGCTGCCCCCCCTCTCCTTCAGGCCTTTAAACCACCCTCCCTGCAAACCCCATCCCATGTAAATAAAGCCTAATACAAGTATTAAAGGTCTTCCTACAGGGAAAGCTCAGAGACTCCCTTATTTCTTGGGCTCCTCTGGAAAGGTGGAACTTTGCCAAGGGAGGGAGCAGAGATCAGTATCAGGGTCCCACAGTGATCCCAGTTTTCTCTGAGCTCAGGAATGCCGACTGGGGTGGCAGTCAGCCCAGAGCAGGGCAGGAAGCACCAGGGCCATGTTTATCCAGGAGCTGGGGCACGTTTACACTGGGGGCAGGGAGCCAACCCCGCTGAGTCCCGGGGCTGCAGCAGCACAGCTGCTCCATCCCAGCTGCTCCATCCCAGCTGCTCCATCCCAGCTGCTCCATCCCACTGGAAATGCCAAAGTTTTCCAGACTATCCCCTCCTAAATGACAGTTTCCCAAGCCAAGGGCTGGGCAGGGACAGGCCTGGATCCAGTCCAGCACTGCCACCTCCGCTCCGTTCATCCGGCCACATTCAAAGCTTTCCCTGGAGTTACAGCCCTTGCAGGCTTCCCCTCCTCTTTCCCAACAGGATTTCTGCTCCCAACGCCCTGGATTTCCTGCTCCCAGCTGGAGAAGGGGAGGGACTCCGGCCTTGTGGCCTAACAGAGAGGAGGAGGAGGAGGAGGGGGAGGAGGATGGGCTCTGTAACTCAGCCCCAGCGCTTGCCAGGCTCCACGTTCTGCTTTGGGGCTCGCAGGAAGGACAGACACCATCATCCTCTCGGGATGTGAAGGAAGGAGCAGACTTTGGGCTGCCAAGTCAGGAAGGGGGGATTCAGGCTCTGGAGCAAATGAAGAGACAATTCCTCTTCACCATCGACTGTTCTGGGGAGGATTTTCCAGCATGAGGCAGCAAGGAGGTAAGGAAAGATTTCAGGATCATCAGCCCCAGCTGCTCCAGGGTCCAGCTGCTCCCTCGGGCAGGATCCTGCCTCTGCCAGAGGGGATGGAAGGGAGACAAGCAGAGGATGGGATTGGAAGAGCTTCCCGGGGGCTCAAAACTGGATCAGACAGACGTGACCCCCTGACTGGGGCACAAACCAAACTGCTAAAGCTGTAAAGGTGCTTCCCTTCAAAGCCCTTAAAGCTTAAGTCGTTACAGTAATTTGGTGGGAAAGAGAAAGGATATTAAACAGTTTCCAGGCAGGGATAATGTGTAATTTAACATCCCTTGTCAACAAAAGCTGGTGGATCTTCCCCCACCTTCCAAACTGAAGGCAGAGTGTGGGGTTTGCTCTGGCAGCAGCCAAGGGGTTCCAAGGCAGTTCCTGCCTTCAGGGGAACAGCTTTTGAACTGAAACAGCACTGCAGGAAGGTGTTAATGTGTCCTGAAACTCCCATTTCAGGGGAAAGGAAGGAGCATGAAGAGCCTGAGGAAGCTGGGAAGAGCCCAGGGGCCAGAGCAGCACATGGAGGGTGGGCTTGGGCAGTGGTGCTTCACTTCTTCCTGGTAAGCACAGAATAAATCCCACTGAACCCTCCGTGATCTGAGGCAGAGGGAAAGCCTCAAATCTCACTCAGAGGACAGGACAGGCTGATCCCACCCAGCTTCATCCTTCCCTATGGAATGGCAGCTGCAAACATCCCAGGGATGGACATGAGGGTCCCCAGCCCACAGCCCAGGGCCAAAGGTACCTTGCAAGGATAAAATGACTGTTCTCTACTCAAACACACCCCACTGGGGAGTCCTGTCCCTTCAGAAAGGGTGGGATCCCACCTTGGGCAGTGAGATGGAGCCAGGGGTTGACTGAGAGCAGCACACACACACTTGGGACTCCCTTCTCCACTCAAAGGCACCAGTTCTCCATTCCACAGGATTTAACACCACACAATCTTCCCACCAGTGATGAATCAAGGAATCCTTAAAGCTGGAAAAGATCTTTAAGGTCGTCAAGCCCAACTGTAATGAAGGCACCACCCTCCAAGCTGGGAAAGCTTTCCCCAGTTCCACCCCATCCCAAGTAACTTGCTGCCAATCATTAACCCCCTGCTACCAGGGAGGTGAGAGGGAGTTAAAATTAAGGACACAACGTGTGTGTCCTTTGCTCCCACGGCAGCACAAGCCTGGGAAACTGCCCTGGATAACATCCATCCTGCTCCTCTCACCCCCTCATCCACTCCCAGGGATCTCCAGCAGTGCCAAGACCCATTTAATTGTTGCTTTAGTATTAAAAAGTAACTCATAGAGCAAAAATATCCTGGAAGAGTTTGGTTCTAGTGTGATTTTGTTTCTTTTTCTTAGAAAAGGCAGTTTGCAGAGGGGTTTTTGAGGGTCTGTTAAGATGAAACTGCAGCACGGCCACCATGAGCTCACCCTGCTGACAATCCCCAACACCAGCTCAAGTGTCCCAGTTTGTTCATCATCATAACAAATTACCCACACGAGAAAAGCAAAAGGAAAAGCTTTTCCCCCCTCCTGATCCCCTGTGGCTCCTCACCTCTGTCTGCTCCTGACTCAGGTCAATGTCCTCGTGATGGGGATGCTCAAGACCTTTGGGATTTTCTTTGTGGCTTTCCGAGAGGAGGTGGGGGGCTCCTCTGAGCAGGTCAGCTGGATTGGCTCCATCATGTCCTCCCTGCGCTTCCTAGGAGGTGAGTTGGCATTCCCCAGGACTGGGACAGTGCTTCAACCCCAGGCACATTTGCTTTAAGAGCACTGATGATGTTCTGCAGATCCAATTCCCTTCCCAGACTGCTCCAAGCTGGACATGGTTGGTACCCACACGTGACTTCACAGGAATGTGGTCAAAGATGGAGTTGTGTGTCATTTAGGTGGGATATTGGGAAGGAATCCTTCCCTGGAAGGTGGTGAGGATGGAATTCCCAGAGAAGCTGTGGCTGCCCCATCCCTGGAAGTGTCCAAGGCCAGGCTGGAGCAACCTGGGCTAGTGGAAGGTGTCCCTGCCCATGGCAGGGGGTGGAATAGGTTGAGCTTCAAGATCCCTTCTGATCCAAAAGATCCTGGGATTCCAGGATTCTGGAGCCCCTCTGCTCTGGAGCCAGGCTGGGAGAGCTGGGGGGGTTCTCCTGGAGAAGAGAAGGCTCCAGGGAGACCTTGGAGCCCCTTCCAGGGCCTAAAGGGGCTCCAGGAGAGCTGGAGGGGGACTTGGGACAAGGGAGGGAGGGACAGGACACAGGGAATGGCTTCCCAGTGCCAGAGGGCAGGGATGGATGGGATATGGGGAAGGAATTGGCTGTGAGGGTGGGGAGGCCCTTTTATCACCTTCAGCCTGAGCTCTGTCTCTCTCCCTTGCAGCCCCGCTCGTGTCCATCGTGTGCCGGGGGCTGGGGGAACGTCCCACCTCCCTCCTCGGGGCCGGGCTGGTGGCCGGGGGGTGCCTGGTCAGCACCCAAGCCACCAGTGTCCCCTTCCTCTGCATCTCCATGGGACTCCTCCTGGGTGAGCAGCCTCTGACACACCTTCCCCTGGGCACCACCAAGGAATCGGCTCCTTTAACCTCAAACCTGGGGCAGGGTCTGCAGGGGAAGCAGAGGGCACACGGATTGTTCAGCTGGAGAAGAGGAGACAGGTCAGAGCTCCTGGGGGTCTGCAGCTCCCTCAGAGGGGCAGAACCATCTCTGCTCTGGGGGAGCAGGGACAGCAGCCAGGGAATGGCTGGAGCTGTGCCAGGGCAGGCTCAGGTTGGATCTCAGGAAAAGGTTCTCCCTCCAGAGGGTGGTTGGGCACTGAACCCCAGGGAATGGGCACAGCCCCAAGGCTGCCAGAGCTCCAGGAGGGTTTGGACAACGCTCTCAGGGACAGGGTGGGATTGTTGGGGTGTCTGTGCAGAGCCAGGAGTTGGACTGATGATCCCTGGGGGTCCCTTCAACTCAATTATTTTGTGATTCTGTAAACCTCGAGTGGCAAAGCATCCCCAGCTCCTTTCTATGAGATGCTGTGTGAACCCTCAAAACTCCATGCTCAGGAGAATAAAACAGAGTTTCAACACACTAGACCCAACTAACTGATTTTTTTCTGGCTCCAACAAATCCTGGCCTTTTAAAACCTCTCACTGAAAGGGCACAGCCTCCAACCCCCCAGATCTTTAACACCACCCACAAAACCTCGTTCCCCACTGACTCCAAGAGCAGAAATCCCACGTTCAGGGGAAATCCCTCCAGGAACGCTGCATCCCAGAGACTTGGCATGGCATGACTTCACATTCCAAGAGCTCATGGTACAGTTTGGGCACAGATGTGTTGTTTCTGACCCTCCCCAGGGCTGGGCTTTTCCTGCCTGTACCAGGCGGCCGCAGTGATGACGGCCAAGCGCTGCCGGGCACGGCTGGGCTTCTCCAACGCCCTGGCCCGCTCTGGGATGGGGCTCACCTTCCTCATGGCACCCTTCACCCAGCTCCTCCTCGACTTCTATGGCTGGCAAGGTGAGTGATCTCCTGCTTAGCCAAATTCATCAGCGCTGAGAGGGCGTCTGGGGAGAGCTGGGCACGGGAAGAGGCTCCTTTTAAAGATTAAAATTCAACAGCTCTGCCTCTTCCGGGATGGTTTGGGGACATCTTAATGATTAAACACCTAATCACGCATTAAAATCGGCGTCAAAACAGAGACCTGAGAAATCAAACCCAAAAATCCCTCCTTCTACTGCAGTTTCATGCCATCTTGAAGGTCCATCACAACTTCTAATGAGGGTAAACAAAACAAGCTCCCAGATCCCAGAGGCAGCTCTGGATTTGTTGTGTGCATCAGAGCAGAAAGGACTTCTAGGCAGAAAAACAGGAATAAAACTTCCTGTTTTGTTACCTCCTCCATAAGGAGGGGGCAAAATGCCTTCCCCTTGTGACAGACTTTCTCCATGTTCAATGCATGGCCTGTTATAAAAGCTTATTTTCTACTGTACCTCCTTCTCACTCCAAGAATAAAACACCTCCTGTCCTCCCTCAGGAACTCTCCTGATTTTTGGAGGCATCATGTTGAACCTGGTGCCTTCCAGCCTGTTGCTGAGACCCATCAGCACCCGACACTCCTCTGCCAAAACCCAAGGCTGTGAGTCACCAATGGCACAGAAGGACCCAGAAACTCCTGATGGAGGTTTAGATGGAACCACTGACAGGGAATTACACCCTCACAAGGCACAGGAGCTTCCCACCACAGAGAGACTCCTGATGTCCCACGGCAAAGATGTCTCTGATCCCACAAATCCATCTGCTTTGGGAAAGCTGGAGAAACCCACCCCAGGCAGATCCTCACCAGAAACGGCCACAGGGGCCAAGAGAAGCAACAAACCCCTTTCAGCAACCAAAAAAGAAACTTCTCAGCCTCTCCTGGACTTGTCCCCCCTGAAGGATCCTGTTTTCTTCATCTTCACGTGGTCTTTTTTGTTCAGCCACTTGGCCTATTTCGTGCCCTTCTTTCACCTGGTGGCAAGAGCCAGGACCCTGGGAATGAGCAGCATGGATGGCTCCTACCTCATCTCAGTGGCTGGTAGGCAAAGGAATCTTTTAAACCCATTTCAGAAGAGAAAACCAACCCAAATTTTGCCAAGAAATAGTCCCAGATATGTCCTAGAAGGAATGCTCCTGGTGGAAGTTGAGCTCACAGCCCTGATCCCTCTGTATATTCAGAATCCCCTTCTGGACAGCACAAGTTGCTCTCACAGGGTGGGTGGTTCTCCCAACCCAACGTGGATGACTCCCCATCCTCCCTGCTCCAAACAACCCCAATTTTCCAGTAAAAAGGTGCTCTCTGTCCTCCTGGAGCCTCCTCACCACCATCCCTGCCTTGCTTAAACCCACAACCCACAGAAATCACTCAGAACCCAAAGAGCTCCAGTTTGACCCAGGAGAGAAAAATTCAATATTGTGGAAAAAATCCACCTCCACGGGGTGGTGGAAAAACCAACCCAAACTCCCCAAAAAACAACCCCATGCCTGATTATAAACTGGGATTAACACGCTGGGTTAAGAAAGCAGCTCCAATGTCAGTCACATTCAAATATTTTATTGTACAAAAATACATTTTCCTTCTACAGAGCTGTGGGATGTTTAGCAGTGATGTGCTGTCAAGGGGTTTAGGAGAGCCCAGAAATTCAGGGGGTATTTTGAACTAAGAGTAGGAGGGACACAGTGGTGCAAGACATGAGCTGACAGTGAGCTCTCCTCTGATCTTTGGTTCATAAAAATGTATTGAGAAATGTAAAAAAACAAGTATCAGAAGTTTGCTGAGCCTTTAAAGAAATGCTGGGCAATTGGCTTCTTTAGAAAAATTAAAATCTCGTGCACATATTTCTTAATATTCCGCTTTTTCTCCATCTCAGAAAAGGGATCAGACAGCAAGTTTATCTCCCCTGTTTTTACTGAAGGGCATTTCAGAGATTTCTGCTGAGTGCAGAGCCCTTGACTGAATTTTTACCGACTGGTAATAGCTGGGAAAAGGCAAAAAAACCCCAAATATCAATTTTACAACAGCCTAAAAACACCTTCCTGTAACTCTTTGGCGTTTCAGCCCTTTGTGGTCGTAGCAGGCAGGTGAAACTGGGACGTGCCACCAGGAAAAAGAGGAAAAACTATCCCAATGAAGCGTTTTCTGAGGCTCTGGTGGCTCCTGTTCCCTCAGGCATCACGGAGATGCTGAGCCAGCTGCTCTCGGGCTGGGTGGCCGACCAGAACTGGACCAAGAAGTACCATTTCCACGTGACTTACCTGGTCCTGAGCGGGCTCACAAACCTCCTGGGGCCCCTGGCCACGACGTTCCCGCTGCTCCTCGCCTACACCGTGGCCTTCTCCGTGTCCTGTGGGGGGTTCATGGCTCTGGTGCTCCCGGTGCTGGTGAGTTGTGCTGACCTGCTCCCAACCCCAGAACTGTCTGGAACACACAGGGATCAGTCATGGGAGGATCTGGCTGGAGGGAATCCAGAGAGGCCACAGGGATGCTCCAAGGACTGGAGAACCTTTGCTTTGGAGCCAGGCTGGGAGAGCTGGGAATGTTCCCCTGGAGAAGAGAAGGCTCCAGAGACACCTTGGAGCCCCTTCCAGGGCCTAAGGGGGCTCCAGGAGAGCTGGAAAGGGACTGGGGACAAGGGATGGAGGGACAGGACACAGGGAATGGCTTCCCACTGCCAGAGGGAGGGATGGATGGGATATTGGGAAGGAATTCTTTCCTGGGAGAGTGGTGAGGGGCTGGGATGGAATTCCCAGAGAAGCTGTGGCTGCTTCATCTCTGGAAGTGTCCATGGCCAAGCTGGATAAACTTGGAGCAACCTGGGATGGTGGGAGGTGTCCCTGCCCACGGCACTGGATGGGCTTTAAGGGCCCTTCCAACCCAAACCATCCCAGGATTCCTTGATCAGGATGAGGAGGCATAATTATAATTAGGCATTTCTTTCTAGGAAGGAATTTACAGTTTAAAACACCTTCCTCAAAGTCTTATTGTCTGGAAGCCAGAAAAGTATCTCACATCCCAGTAATTTCCATCCTGGCCTTAGGGAGGCGAAGGGATTCCAGGCTGGATCAGACCTAGGGGGAGCAAAGTCCTTCCAAAGCTGCAGCTGAAGAGGAAACTCCCCAGGAAAAACATCAGTTAATCTCTTGTGCTTTAAAAACAAATCAATACATCTCTTCTGTTCACATATTCCCATGAAATCCATCACTAATGATCCATTTTGGTTTACCAACAGGTGGATCTGGTGGGTGTGGAAAAGCTCCACAGCTACCTGGGGTTTGCTGCCTTCTTTGCAGGGATAGCAGCCATTGGAGGACCTCCTCTGGCAGGTAAATACTATATATAATATAATATAATATAATTAATATAATATAATTAATATAAT